CGCATGATTCGTCAATAATATGCGCGGTGCAATTATTGGCATTGCGCGTCCAATCAGGTGCCATCATTATGGATAGCAACCATATTTGACTGCGCAAATGAAACTCAATTTACTACACAAGATGCTCAACCCCTGCGCGCGAATTTGCCCTCCCCAAAATAGAAAGTCTGCACCCGTGTTTTTTTTTACCAGCCAGTTGCACCCACATTACAAGCTCCTCGAGCAAGTTGCAGTGGTTATGAGCCAATACGAACCACAGAAACCGAAGTCACACGGAAGAGACCGAAGTCAAAATGTCAACGGGGAGTTACAAATGTTTTATAAGCCCCTTTTTGCTAGGTGCGACGTTGACGAAATTTGCGAAATGCTCAGAATCACTTAAAAGCCCTCTTCACAAGGCAACCTTGGGTTAGTCAAACGGGCATCGTGTGTATATGATCTCGCCAATCATATGGTAACAACACTCGCACAAACATAAACTCTGGCCAATTAGGTTCAAATTAAAACGCTCAATCTGGAATAGTACGAAACACTCCCGCGGGATGAGACTCGTGCGAACGAGGAATTTCGGGGATACAAACCCTTGTAGGGTAATGTGCCGGGGAAAACAAAACCTCGAAAATCCCCTGGCGTGGCCACTCGAGCAATTATCACTGAATTGGATGGCCACGCGAGCAATTCGGGGCCACGTGGGCAAGACCAAATCACGAAAAAAGGCCCTGGAGCAATTCTCTCAGGATTCAGTTGGATGTTGGGTTTGATTCGAATGGCAGCCTCTCGTGCCATGACTCATGAGTCATGACTCTCGATTTCCCGTGCCTCCCGTCCCGTTCCAAACCCCACACCGAGAGAATTTCTCCAGTGGCCAATTCGGTGATTCATCCTTGCTCGGGGGGCCTCGAATTACTCGAGTGGCCACCCAATTTGGTGATAATTACTCGAGTGGCCACGCCTGGGGATTTTTGCTGGCTTTTTTTTCACCGGCGCATTACCCTACGGGGCTTTGTAGCCCCGAAATTCCTCATTCGTGCGAGTGGTATCCCGAGGTAGTGTACCGTTCTGTTCCGCACCCGAAAATTTCGCCAGGCTCACGGACGCGAAAGTGGCCCGCCCACTGTACAAGAAACCGACCAACAGTACATTGGCCAGTCAGTTTCGGCCAAATGCACGACCAATGCGCGCGCGGTCAATCTAATTCCAAACCAATCAGCGATCGAGCAAATAACTTCGCGATCATATACTGCATTTGACCCGAAACGAACCGCCATAGCAATAACGACCGCCCTCGCTTGGTCATGAAATATGCGCGATGCATTTGTTGCCACTGCGCGTCCAATCAGGTGCCATCGTAGAATTCCCGATCATATACTGAAATGATCGGGAAGTCGGTTCGCGAGAAATTAGATGACCGGACGTGAGTGGTTTGTTTTGTTCGCAGGATATGATTTGACATTGCGCATCCAATCAAATACGTCCAAACAAAGTCGCAGGCATATATTATATAAGACCGCGCAATAACCTTATATAATATATGCCTGCGACTTTGTTTGGACGTATTTGATTGGACGCGCAATGTCAAATCATATCCTGCGAACAAAACAAACCACTCACGCCCAGGGGTCTCGATTCGTTTTGGGCCACCCTGTGGAATCAGAGTTCGGGTTCAAAATCACACTGCCGCTGCAGTGTACCTGATGCGGCGCACCCTAGAAATGGCAGGGTGTTCAAACATGTTTCGTCTGATCTGGCAGGGTGGAAAAAAAAACTACGCTGCTGTGGTGTATGGTCTAGGAAGGAAGGACTTCCACTCGGATCATGAACAAGAAGTCACCGCGCCATTTGACGCCCGTCCATCCTTGACGTGGTGTGAGTGAGTCATCGTGTCAAGCACTTAGCCGATTTTCGAGTTTTCTGGTGAAAATGACGGGAGTACACGAAGGGACAAAGTTCGCAGACTGGGTCCGCCACTATCGAACTCGGCCAAGGCAGTGTGTTACGAATACTAAAACTGCAACATAAGGGTGGTTTTTATACGTGGCCGGATGGTGACAGGGTGGTAAAGCAACCGAATCCTGTATTTACAGGGTGGTCACAAATAATCACCCTGAAAAACAGGCTAAACAGGGTAAAACGCCCTGTAATCCTGAGGCCTGCTCACGCCCGGTCATCTAATTTCTCGCGAACCGACTTCCCGATCATTTCAGTATATGATCGGGAATTCTACGATGGCACCTGATTGGACGCGCAGTGGCAACAAATGCATCGCGCATATTTCCTGACCAAGCGAGCGCGGTCGTTATTGCTGTGGCGGTTCGTTTCGGGTCAAATGCAGTATATGATCGCGGAGTTATTTGCTCGATCGCTGATTGGTTTGGAATTAGATTGACCGCGCGCGCATTGGTCGTGCATTTGGCCGAAACTGACTGGCCAATGTACTGTTGGTCGGTTTCTTGTACAGTGGGCGGGCCACTTTCGCGTCCGTGAGCCTGGCGAAATTTTCGGGTGCGGAACAGAACGGAACACTACCTAGGGATACCACTCGCACGAATGAGGAATTTCGGGGCTACAAAGCCCCGTAGGGTAATGCGCCGGTGAAAAAAAAGCCAGCAAAAATCCCCAGGCATGGCCACTCGAGTAATTATCACCAAATTGGGTGGCCACTCGAGTAATTCGAGGCCCCCCGAGCAAGGATGAATCACCGAATTGGCCACTGGAGAAATTCTCTCCCCCACACCTCACGTCACCAGAGGCCATGACTCGACACAAGCAGCCTTGCTACAGTGTTATTTTGTCAACTGCCTTGCTTTTTGGCGACATTTTGAAATGTGGATGATGGGGGGAGAGAGGGCGAGAAAGATACAGTGACTGCATGACTGTCCTTTTCCGGACCAGAAGCAGCAGCCTCTGCTGTATGCCAGCTCCACACCTCAGGTGCCAGCCAGCCTTTCCTCATATGCCTCCACACAGAAGCCTTTCCCCAGCCGCCAGCCAGCCTTTGAATCTGCCTCCCGTCCCCCACAGCAGCTTGAAACGCCTCGCTATAAGATCTTCCCCACTTCGTTTTCCCACCAACCTCGCGAGAAAGACGACCAGCAGTGACGCAATGAGGCGTAGATATGCAATGTGCGGCGTCAGGCCGGTGGTGCCGTGCCGCGTCGCGATGGCGCAGCCAGAGGGAGGGGATTGGTTCAGGTGGGACGATAGACGACGCGATCCGAGGGCGGGGGGGATTCCACGGCGAGAAATTATGGTCTGGTCTGTGTGGGCGAAAAAGGAACGGATTTCCGATTTCTGACTCAGGAGTCGTGTGCGGGAGGGAAGGGAAGGGACGGCCTGTCCTTGGTTGAAGGGAAAGGAAATTGGATGGGAAATGGGATGAGAATTAGGAGGAAGGTCGACTACAGTACTCCTGAGACTGGATGGTGATGGCGGGCGTTGGGATAACCAGCCTGGAATTTCTCCTGAAATTAGCACACGAGTGCGACTTTCTTCGCTGCTCGATTCCCGATTTCTTACGACAAATTCTGTTTCCATTCACGTTCGCTTGTTTGCGACGCTCTCACCTTCCTACTAGCTCCTCGTTCGCCTGATCAGCTCTCCGCGCGTTTCTCGTTCACACCAGCACCATACCCGTACGCCGCGTAGAATCCGCACACCCGCTCGCACCCTCCAAGCTGTGTCCTTTCCAGTGCGCAACAAGTACCAGCTCGCGACTTGACCCGTTCCGTAGTAATAGTAATCTCGCGGGGAGGCCGCGGGAACCATTACGAACCGCGACACCACCAATTTATCGCATTATTCGCGCATTACACCACCAATTCGAGACTGAGCCTGCGCCTGTGCGTGCTATGAAGTTTTAATCTCCGTGATCCGGGGAGTCGTTCCTCACTCCAGCGCTTCCGTTCCGTTCTCCGCGCGGCTCCGCCGATCCTCCGCGCTGCTGCGCCGTCCCGCCGCGCTTCTGCGCCGTCCCTTCACGCTCCCGCGTCCCTCCGCCTTTCTGCGGCGCTGTCTCGCAAAGGCCTGCCGTCGTCCTCCCTCCCTCGCAGCGGCTCCGCGGCTCGTAGCGAACAGCAGCGGCAGTCATGGGCTTGGCACTGCAGCACCGATGCCTACCGCCAGACGCGCCGCAGATTCCGGCTCGGGACGCTTCGAGGCGCCTGAGAACAACGCAACTGCCGCATGAGTCAACTCGTGGGTCAACGGCTCGTGGGTCAACGGCTGTGAAACTGTCGTTAGCCTCTGTCGCCTGTCGGTCACCGCTGGTGTTACTGTTAGTGGTCGCCGTCGTCGCCAGCTGTGTGCGACAACATCCCGTCGCACTCGCAGCACGGCCGCTGGACACGCCCCAAGGTGAGTCGCCACTGCTGCCCGTTGCTGCCCCTCCCTCCTCTCACATACCCCTGACACCCCTCTCACACCCCCCTCGCCCCCGCCTTCTCTCACCTGAGCTGTAGCAAAGTCCCTGAACATTCTGACGTGCTGCCTTGCTGCCATGCTGCTGCAGCTCTTAGGCCTGTCACCCATCGGCGCGCAGCAATCAAATGAACCCCTCAGCCCCCCCCTCCCCACTGTCCGTGCCTGTGCTCGCCCCGCAAGCCACTCCCCTCACTCCGCGCTCCACGTTCCCCTTTTCCTTCCCCGCTCCAGTCCCTTCCTCTTCCTAACCTCTCCCCTTCCCCCTTCCCCTTTTCCCCCTGCCCCCCTGCCCCTTTTCCCCTGTCCCACCAGGCGACCCAGCCACTGCGCCTGCACCCGCCTCCGCTCCCCCTTCCACCCCCGGATCCGCACCAGCACCAGGCGCTGACCCAAGCAGCAGCGGCAACAGCAGCAGCACCACCAATAGCAGCAGCAGCAGCGCCAGCAGCGGCGGCAGCGCGCCGTTCAACATGTCAGCAGACAGCATCAAGCACGGCTACGACTTCTCCTGCCTCTTTAAAGACGTCCTTAGTACCGACTGCCGGAACAAGCCTGCGAGCCCCTGGGCCGTTATGACCGCCATGATCATCTTCACTATAATCGGACTCGTTATAGGCGTGCCGCTCTGCATCTTCTACCGTAACAGCCAGGCCGCGAAGAGAAAGCTCTTCGCGTGTTGCTGTCCACAGAGATTGGAAGAACTGGCCGAGGAGGAAGAGGCGAAGAGACAGGCGAAAATCGCGGAGCCGAGACCGTGGGAGCTGCAGCAGCCGGGGATGAAATTCTCTCTAAAGGGCAGCGGCAGAGGGGAGGAGGAGGAGGATGGGGAGGATAGCGACTGGGTGAGGTCGGATGACGAGGAGGACGTGGAGTGCGGGCGAGGGAGGGGCGGGATCAGCAGCAGCGGCCGGGATGCAAAGCCGCCTGTTCCACGCTCAAGGAGCTCGCAGGCAGGCGCAGCAGCAGCAGCAGGAACAGGGACAGCAGGGGTTGTGCCGCGGGCTGTATCGGCTGGCTCCTCCTCCTCTGGTGTGCGGCGAGTGGCGGCTGCTGGGCCCGCAGGCAGAGGCAGGGGAGGCGGAGGGATGGGGAGAGGGAGAGGGGGAGGAGTCGGGCGAGGGGGCAGAGGAGGGAGAGGGGGAGGGAGAGGCGGGGGAGTGCCGCAGGCGATGTCAGCGCAGGGGGGAGTGGCGCGGTCGGTTTCTGTAGAGGCTGCAGCGCCAGGGAGGGGGGTTGCGGGCGGGCAGGGCGTGCCCAGAGCTGTGTCTGCGGAAGCAGCCATACACGCAGGGGACAGTCAGAGAATGCTGCCAGGGGCGGTAGGAGCAGGTGGTGCTGGGGTGGGCGGTTTTTGTGCAGCAGGAGCAGCAGGGAGAGCGGACGGGCTGACCCGGGCCGGCCCCAGAAGCACTGTGCAATTCATGAGCGGTGATGGCCGAGGCGAGATGGAACACTATGGCAGGAGGAGGGATGAGGACGAGGAGGAGGAGGAGAAGGAGGATATGACCGGGGCTGTGGAGTATGAATATGATGATATTGACATGGACTCGCCTGGGGGGCATGGGGATGCGTATACATCATACAGCCATGGCAGGAGCGGCAGCGCTGCTGCTATTCGCCAGCCGCCTCGCCACATGCCGGCACCCACACGCGACTACGATGACGAGGATTCGGACCCGGATGACGTGGAGGAATACACTCCTGTGAGGGGGCCACGTCAGCAGGGGATGTCCGGGCGGCATGACTATGAGTATGACTCGGGACCTGGGAGAGGGAGGGGGTTGGGAAGCGGAAGGAGGGTGGGGAGTGGGCGGGAAGCAGGAAGGGATGATGGGAGGGAGGAGGCACGGAGACCACTGCACGCGGCACGGGGTGATGAGAGATACGATTCGGACGAGTCAGAGGACCTATATGACGATTGAAGTCAGGTATAGCTGTCCCTATTAACTCTAATGGGGGTTTGTATATTTATCCATTAGTATTGGTGCTTATCTCCGAGAGTCTGATTGTAATGGTTTTAGGGACTAATAGGCTGATTTTATGTGTCCGCAGAGGAAATCCTAATATCCATCTTATATATACACATCCATAAACACCGTAACCTTTCAAGATGTGTCAAACTTTTAATTAGCATTAACACACGTTACACTACATATGTTACTATCGCACATACACTTCCGACTCAGCTGCACTATTCCACTCTCTCCCTGAGCTCTCCAGTGTACTGCTCGGCATAATCTCCTCAAAGCTCTCAGTGTCTCTCCTACTCGCACCGCCACCCCCTGCAAAGTACTGCACCCACCTCCTCATGCTCTCACTCTCCATGAACCTAAGGCTGCCTCCCAGACGCCCACTACCGCTCCTGCCACTCCCACTCCCACTCCTCCCCACCTCCCCTCCTTGCGCGTCCCCCTTCCCCCCCAGCGCCCTTGCCCCAGCCGTTATTCCTCTCGATACATGCGCCGCCAGTGCAGCAGCCCCACCTATCACCCCTGCTCCTCCTCCTCCTGCTGCTGCCGCTCCCCCCACCCCTCCCTGTCTGCCTCCCTGCACCCCTGGCCCACCAGCAGCACCAGCAGAACCGGCAGCGGCAAGAGCAGCGGCGCCAGCAGCAGCAGCAGAGGCAGCAGCATGGAAGCCTCTCCGGGCGTCCAGCATGACGCGTGCCACCTCAGCCATGTCCGGGCGGCGCGTGGACGGCAGCTGCACGCAGTGGGCGGCAGTGCGCGCCATCTGCAGCAGAAAGGGCAGGTTGAGCGGCGAGGCGATGCGCGCGTCCGCTATCACCCGCACCTCCCCGCGCTCTATGTATGGCACCGCCTGGGGGGGGGGGAGGGGTTTGGAAAAGAGGAGGGGGGAACGAGATGTTAGACGATTTGAATCCCAACCCCACGCTCGATGTATGGCACTGCTTGGTGGAAAACGGGGGGGGGAGGGGAGGATGGCACAACACGTGAGGTGAGGCGAGGTGACACTTGCCCCGATGTATAGCACCGCCTGGTGGAGGAGAGGGAGAGGTGGGGGGAGGGAGTGGGGAAGGAAAGCAGAAGAGGAGAAGGTTAGAAAGGAGGAGCGGAAGGAAGGAAAACAATCTGCTCTCAGGAGTTTGAGATTGGAATCTAAGGGCTTGAAACACAAATGATTCAACAAGAGGGGAGGTTGAGGAGAGAGTAGAAGCGGAGTGAGAGGCTACATGGTGAAAGCATGGTGGGGAGGGGATTTACGGAGGAAGCTGTGGGGAGACGACGGGGCTGCCACTGTGACTCGTGACAAGCCAAGTAGGGGGCCATCACTTGTAAGAAATAGAGGTAGAACCGAAATGTTAGGTAATGAGCTTTACACTGTACGGGTTGGCCGTGCAGAAAGGGTCTCATGTACGGGTTGGCCGTGCAGAAAGGGTCTCATGTACGGGTTGGCTGTGCAGTGCAACTGCAAATCACTTGGGCGAAAAGTGGGTTCTTTGGCGAGTTTCGATTTGACTAAACTTTGGTTCCAGATTCGTAAACCAATCAGACAGGCCCTTTTTTCATCGATTCCAAAACACTTGGTCTACTTGAGACCCTGGCTTTAAGTACATCCGAAATGGGCAAGAAAAGGATGGGTTGGGAATTGGGGACAGTCCCCAATGAGATCGGCTGCAATCTCCAATAGGTGGGTAGGAGATTTCGATTGATCACATCTGGGTAAGGTTGGGATGTCAGTGTACAACCAACCTACACAAACAACAAACTACACTCACTCAAGTGGTGATGTGGACATGACAGCTCACCCAGGTGGTGATGTGGACATGACAGCTCACCCAGGTGGTGATGTGGACATGACAGCTCACCCAGGTGGTGACGTGGGCATGGCAGCTCACCCAGGTTGTGATGTGGATAAGGCAGGACTCATCCTCCGGGTCCCTGGCCGTGGCTGGCCGCCCTGTCACCATCTCCAGTAGCAGCACACCGTAGCTGGTGAGGGGGTCACATGGGATGAGAGGGAGTAGGGTATGGGGATGAGAGGCACAGAACACGGGGATGAGCGACATAAAACAATGGGATGAGTGGGAATGCGCCCTCACTTTCTTCAACAGAGGAGCGATCACTCACACACCCGCACTCATCACACTCACACACTCACATACCATGCTACAGTTACACACACCGCACTCACACACCTGCACAGCCCGCACTCCCACACACCTGTGCAAATCGCACTCATACACACACACATACCTCCACACACCACACTCTCGCATCCACACACCACACTCACATATACCTCCACACACCACACTCTCGCATCCAAACACCACCAGCACGCACAACCACACCTTTATGCATCCCACTCACACCGGAGACCTCCCCCCCACACACCTCCTTGCACCGCACTCAACCCACCTGTACACATCGCTCGCAGTGGACACCTTCTCACACGTCATGTATTCCGGGTCCAGGTACCCCCTCGTGCCCGCCACTCGTGTGTACGCGCCCTCTCTGGCCGCCCCATCATCCAGCAGCCTCAGCAGCCCGAAGTCAGCTATCTTCACCTGCACGATGAGAAGGTAGGTTTGTGCGGCGCAAGGGGTGTGTGTGAATACGTGTGAGGCATCCTAGGAAGGTGTCTCTGTGTGTGCCCGCCACACGCGTGTATGCGCCCTCCCTGGCTGCCCCATCGTCCAGCAGCCTCAGCAGCCCGAAGTCAGCTATCTTCACCTGCAAGGGACATGGATGAACGGGGGCAGGGGAAGCGGTTGCACGCAAGTGTGCTGGCCATCTTCCCCTGCACGATCGTGAGAGAGACAGGTTGTGAGGGTGTGTCTGTGTGTCTGTGAGCGCTTTTCTTCGTCTCAGCAGCCCAAAGTCGGCTATCTTCTCCTGCAAAATGACATGGTTTGTTCGTGCGACACAGGGTGGATGTGGGAAGTGCGTGTCAGTGCCATGCTGAACCCAAATTTGTCGCACCATTCGTATTTGCTCGCAAATGGCCAAGATAGTTCTGTCCACAACTTGCTGAGTAGATGATACCGTGACCTGCTTCCACCGTCGCCATATAATTTTTATTAGTTGGCGGTTTATTCAGCTTACAACCAGCACGGGATGATCCACACATTCATTCCCTTACTTGACCAGGAGAGGTCGATCGTGGATGGTGACCGGCATGCGACAAAACCAGGTCGGAGGGTGCCCTGTTTGCTACTGACAGTTTCTATTTCCCGGCTCATTTCTATTGTCATTTTTCACCTGTTTCAGCTCTAAGCTTTTCTTTTTTTCAGGTGACCGAATTGCTCGTAAAACACGGTCCAACGACAGTCTAGTTAGGTGCATCGTGGGCTGTTGGGTTAGTTTGCAAGAACGAATTTCCTCCCAGGAACTCGCTCTTGCCTGCTGTTGCAGCGCATCTGCTGGGTCAGCCAGCCGAACGGCTTTGTTGAAGGTCTTCGGTCAGCCACGTTACAGCTTGCGTTTCTCATCATTAAGATGACTGCCGTACGTATCCAACCTTTTGAGTCGACTCAAAACTCAAAGGTCTTCGGTCAGCCACATTACAGCTTGCGTTTCTCATCATTAAGATGACTGCCGTACGTATCCAACCTTCTGAGTCGACTCAAAACTCAAAGGTCTTCGGTCAGCCACGTTACAGCTTGCGTTTCTCATCATTAAGATGACTGCCGTACGTATCCAACCTTTTGAGTCGACTCAAAACTCAAAGGTCTTCGGTCAGCCACGTTACAGCTTGCGTTTCTCATCATTAAGATGACTGCCGTACGTATCCAACCGTACCACTTGCCCTGCCCATGTCATCAACTGGTTCAAACAACACCCAAAATGACATCGTGTATTCCTGGACTGAAGCAGATGCCACTAGTTGTGCAACTTCATACGAGCACTTTCTAGGGCGGGTATGTGCGCGAATCGTGTTCGCAAGGTTGCGCCCCACTGTTGCCATGTACGGATTATGGTCGTCCCAAAAATCGATGCGGCCTTATGTTTGACAAATGTTGAAGCCTCGTTGAGGTTGAGCACGTGGCGGACCAGGTTTGGCCCGGGTCAAACCGAGCTGGGCCATCCGGGCCAAACCAGGTTCGTCCCGCCCCGAGTCGGCCGAGCCATTCCCCGGCCCAGGTCCGGCACAACGAGCCGGTTTGAGTTCGGGTCGGAATCGCATTCGTCATTTTCACAGGTATGGCAATGTTAACTCCAGCATTTTTTTTCAAACCCATGTGTATTAGAGGGAGAGTCTATAACCAATACACTTGGAAAAGAGAGGTCAAACCTGGTTCAGCTGTTTGCTCATCCTTACCTGTCGTTCGCATGCGTCACACCTTCTGAAGTCCCCTCTCGCTGCAAGTTTGGCGCCACCATTATAAAGCAGGGCCTCGCAGTAATGATACTGCAAAGTTAATGCCGGCGTTGTTGTTATTCACGTTATCAACAATAATGAAATCTTTAAGTGTCAACATGCATCTTGATGCCAATACTATCTTGTCGGTTGGGTTGAATGGGGGCGAGCTAATTGGCTTGATTTCAACAGTGGTGTTGTTGCTGCTGCTGTTGTTTCCTCCGTTTGTATATGTATCTCGTCCTCTCTTTATAGATCTCGTACAAGCTTGCTCTACATTGTTCCGTTCGACGCTGGTACTCCTCTGTGAGGAGCACATTGCAGGGCTTGATGTCGCGTACTCGATGGGCTTCTCTGCATGGCAGTGCAGGTACCTGAGCCCCTCTCACTGGCACCTTGTGATACCCTGTTACCGCATTCCACCCACCTGGTACTCCTCTGTGAGCAGCACGTTGCACGGCTTGATATCTCGATGCACAATGGGCTTCTCTGCATGGCAATGCAGGTACCTGAGCCCCTGATTGGCACCTTGGCGTGACACACACCTGGTACTCCTCTGTGAGCAGCACGTTGCAAGGTTTGATATCGCGGTGGACAATGGGCTTCTCTGCATGGCAGTGCAGGTACCTGAGCCCCTCCGCCAATCCCAGCGCTGCATCCAGCCGCTCCTCAAAGGTGAGCAAGTGCCCTTGGAACTTGGCGTATAGATGGTCACTGAGTGGGCCGTTGCGCACATACTCGTAGACCAACACCTGGAAGGGGGAAGGGAGGGAGGGGGGAATGACTTCTCAGTTGGTTAAGCAAAACAGTTGCACACACACTCGTACACCAAACACCTGGAAGGGGAGGGAGGGGGGGTGTTGGGTTTGGGTATACGAGGGACAGATCAGGGTTTCAACAGTTGCGCACACACTTGTACCCCAGCACCTGGGAAGGAGGTTTCATGTGTGATTAAATGGGGGAATCTATTGAAAAAAACTTATATACCAGCACCTGCTGGGGGGTTATAACTTACGGGACATCTCAGGTAGTCAATGGTGTGACGTGCACTTGCATGCAGATTGACACTATGGGCTTGTCAGATGTGCAAAAACTCGCACATCAGCACAACTCCTGCTAGGTTCAACAGCTAGGTTCAACAGCTTGAGGGTCATGTGCGATTAGTTCAGCTGTGTTTTCTATTCGAATTGAATGTAATTTATTAGAGATGGAGAATACGCAATGAGGAGTCGTCGAAAAGTTTGCGCCACATGGTAAGAGATGAAGACGCTAGCTGTTGGGGAAGGAGGGCGACAGTTGCTAGGAGATGAGGATGGCATAAGGTGGCACATGAAGGCGCACCTGCTCGTTGTTCTCGTTGCAGTAGCCGAGGGGGCATGGGAAGGTTGAAGGGTAAGCGATAGAGATGCAGCAAGGGCAGGACAGCACGGTAGCAGAAAGGGCAGGGCGGCACCTGCTCGTTGTTCTCGTTGCAGTAGCCGAGGAGGCGCACGAGGTACTTGTGGCTCAACTTGGACACCGCCTTCACCTGCCAGGCATGGTGGCATCATGGTATGGTGGTGTGGTGAAGGCATAGAGTGTGGTGGCATGGTGGGATGGTGGCATGGTGGCATCATGGTATGGTGGTGTGGTGAAGGCATAGAGTGTGGTGGCATGGTGGGATGGTGGCATGGTGTCATCATGGTATGGTGGTGTGGTGAAGGCATAGAGTGTGGTGGCATGGTGGGACGGTGGCATGGTGGCATGGTGGGATGGTTGCATGTTGGTACGGTGTAGCAGGGCAATTAGGTGCAAAGACCAAGTGGTTGTGACATGAATACTCAACTTAAGTCGAGTATGCCCAACTCATGTGGAGTCCAACGATGCCGATGTGAGACTATCACCCTCTTTCTATCCCGCATATAGACTAGTCTAGATTACTTGGGTAGAGTTAAGCATAATTTTTTTTAGTCTGGGTGCGCAACTAAGAATTTCCACCGTTGGGGGTTGAAAGCCCAACCTTGGCCCAGATATTAGTCCCGCAAGGTTGGGTTGGGAGATTATTGGAACCCCAAATATCAAGGGTCAAACTTTGACCAATAATATTGCCCCCCTCCCAATAATTTTCCAGCCCAACTTATCGGTGGGTGGGGACCAGTAATGTTGACAAAGTTATAACCATACCATCTTCCCTCCTTCCTAATTTCTATATCCGTTCCTATTCTATTAAAAACAACGCTTCGTTCGTCCTCATAGCATCAAGATGTGGGCCGAGCTGAATCGACTCGACTTAAAAGCACTCATTTACATATAAAAAGGATCGATAATGAGTTGAATTCTGATGGGCATCCACCCGAACCTTGTGCACCTTGGATTCCTTTTCGAGTCCATACCTAACCTATCGCCACAGGCCCCTCGGCACACATTGACCTCCTTGCCATACACTACACCACCAGACCGCACCACATCACACAACACCGCACCACACCACACCGTATTACACTACTGACCTCCTCTTCAAACATGGTGGCGATACTAGTCGATCGCTCCACAGCAGCCGCCCGCTTGATAGCCACCTCCATGCCACCGCCCACCACATGGACACCGCCGCCCGCGCAAGGCACACCGCCGCCCGACCCACGCACACCGCCATCCGACCCATCAGTGCTGCCGGCCACCTTGCCACCCGACCCCGCACCCTTGGCACCAGCAGCAGCTTCAACCAGAGAAGTTGTGCTCCCACTCGTGCCACTGCCCCCACTCGTGCCACTGCCCCCACTCATGAAACTGCTTTTTGTTCTGCTGCTGGCATCAGCCCGCTTCCACACCCGCGAGCTCCACCCGCTCTGCTGCGAGCCGCCAATGACGCCCCAGTAGACGGAGCCGAAGCCGCCCTTGCCCAGAAGGTTGTCGGGGCTCAGCTGGTTGGTCGCCTCCATCACCTCCCTCCACGTATACCTCCTGAAGCCCTGCTGTAGATCCCTCTCCCACGCTGCCCATGGGGGAAGGAGGGGGGAGAGAGGGCAGGGGAGCAGAGAGAGAGGGCAGGAATAGAAGAGGTGGAAAAGCAAAGATAAAGGGGAAGCAGAGTTAGGGAAGCAAAAAGTGCATGTAAGCAGAGGATGGGAAGCTGCTGATCATGCATGTCATGTCCGCACCGCACCCATGCGGGCCATTTGTACACACACAAGTACTCGTGCACACACTTGTCATTCGTGCACACACACTGTTGCCATGCTATACAACATACATAGGCTTGATTGTCAACGGGAGTTGTGGTTGGCCCCGTCCTCGCTTGGGCGGAGCCGACTTCGCAGTCGGGTGTGCGGGGAGCGCAGCCGATCAGTAGTTGCAGTGAGGGCGCTCAGCTGGAGGGCGCCGAGCAGGAGGACGCCGTCATGGGCGCCTGGACGGCGTCCTGGGAGGCTGGACGCTGACCTGGGCGTCTGGACGGCGTCCTGGGCGCCTGGACGCCGACCTGGGCGCCTGGACGGCGTCCAGGGAGGCTGGACGTCGACCTGGGCCCCTGGACGCCGACCTGGGCGCCTGGACGACGTCCTGGGAGGCTGGACGCCGACCTGGGCGTCTGGACGGCGTCCTGGGCGCCTGGACGCCGACCTGGGCGCCTGGACGGCGTCCAGAGAGGCTGGACGCCGACCTGGGCGCCTGGACGCCGACCTGAGCGTCTGCACGGCGTCTTGGGCACCCAGACGCCGACCTAGGCGCCTGGACGTCGACCTGGGTGCTGGGACACTTCATCAGGGGAAGCCGACTTAGTGTGGTCGGCTGACAGGTGTGCTGGTCGACCTGGAGTTGGTCGACCAGGAGGGTTGTCGACCTGGAGCTGGTCGACCACAAACCTGGTGAGGTCGACTGAAGGTGGTCGTCGACTTGGGAGGTCGACGGGCACATACAGGAGCAGCTGGTCGACGTGGTTGCCCGGTCGACCGGGTTACCTGGGTGACGAGGTTCTGCGGAAGTGTGCGACGGTCGCCCAGGCGATGTTGGCGAGACCGACCTCGGTGGTGGTATCCCGAGGTCGACGTGGCGGATCAGGTGGAGTCGTCAGCACGAGGATGACTTGGTGTGTGCGTTGTGCAGGTGACGAGGCTCAGCACGCCAATTATCTGCGCGCACCTGCGAAGCCGGTGCGCTGCTGTTCTGCGGGAGCAACGCTGGCACGCCGTCGACCTGCAGCGTTGGCACGCTGTCGACTTTGCACTGCTGAAGCATGGTCGACCAAGTCGTGCTGGAACGCGGTCGACCATGCTGCGCTGGCAGTCGACCGACCTGAATGCTAGCTCTGATGTAGTCTTGTCTTGCCAACCTGAATGCACCATTGTTGTCAACTTTCTCTAGTGAAACTCTTGCCAAATTACCCCGTGGTCTAGCAAGCAGTGTGTGCACTAGAAAAACGACTAAGGAACAACGAACGCAGAGATCACACGAGCACCCGTGCCTAGCCCGTAGTCTAGCTCCCGTTGTAGTAGTTATCTCCGCATGGTGCGGTGAGCGTGGACGGCACACGACTTACCTTTGAGTCAGGTTGACGTAGACATCACTTACCTAATTCGTTGTTTTAGTCCGGCAGCTGTGCGGTAGTCACTATGGTAGTAGCCGTAGGTGACGCAGGGGTGGTGGACACCCTGGAGGCACGGCTGGAGAACGCGAGGAGAAAGCACGAGGCCAACGAGTATGGCGACCTGCCTTGGGCGATCGTCGAGGCTGGACTCCGCACCATGTGGGCGAAGGAGCACCCTTCTCGACCTGCCTCTCCTCGACCGGTACACGACGAAGTCGGCGTCGACATGGGCGTTAACGCTGGTGGTGGTCAAGTCGGCAGCAGTGCGGGAGGCACGTCGAGGCAGCGAGGTGTGATACACGCCGGTGAAGCCGGCGGCGTTCAGGCGCAAGGGGTGCAGTCGTCGGCGGCTGCAGGCTCCTCGCAGGGTGACGTCGGAGGTCGACGAAGCGGATTGTCGCCGATGTCGGCGACCCAGGTGACGGCGGGCGGGATTGCACCGAGCTACGGCTACTTCAAGTTTACGCCGGACAGGATCTTGGTCACCCCGCCGCTCGTTGGTCGACCAGACATTCTCACCTGGAAGGAAGCCATCGAGCCCCAGCTGGAGATGGCCGGGCTGATCGGCTTCGCCCGAGGGACCGTGGCGACGCCGGAGGAGCACCACGCCGACTTGCGTGCGGAGTTCCGCGCCGTGCAGCTGTTGACCTTCACGGTCATCTCGCGGTGCTGCTCGCCAGGCGTGCAGATCGCCCTGAAGTGGTGCCGAGAGCACCTCGACGCCGGCCACCGGGCGTGGCATTTCATCGAGTCGACCTACCAAGTCACCGACGACTTGTTCATCGCCCAGCTGGAGGGGCAGCTGACGCATCTGCGTATGGGCGACGAGGAAACGGCGACCGACTACTGCAACCGAGCCCGGCGAATTCTTGCCACCATCAGGATGGCCGGCGCGCAGTACTCGACGGCGTCGTACGTCACCCACGTGATGCAGGGACTCTCGAGCAGCTACAACCTCCTGAAGAGGCTGTCAATGGCGCCGAGCACAAGGACGACGCTCAACGAGGACAACTTGACCTCGTACATCCTGCAGGACGAGGCGATGCAGGAGGCAGAGCGGTCCCAGGAGCTCTTGGTGCAGGCAAACTACGTCGCCCCGGCGAAGCAAGGAGGTCGACCGGGGCAGCGCGGACAGTCTGGCGGCGGTGGTAGCAGTGGCTGGAAGCCGGCCAGGGAAGTCGACAAGAAGAAGTCGACCAAGGACAGCGGTCGAGGAGGAGGAGGTCGACGTCGGGAGTGCTGGCTGTGCGGCGACCCCGACCACCTCTCCTTCGAGTGCCCCGACTGCAGTGACTCCGACGACGACGACGCCAAGGGAGGTCGTGGGAGGTCTGGCAGCCGTCGTCCTCGTTGTGGAGGAAACAAGCCGCGCAAGGAGAAGCAGTCGACCACGTCGACCTCGGCGAAGGACGCCGACTCCTCTGCTGGCGGCAAGGCGCGGGACGACAAGACGGCGTCGTGCTCGCTGGTCGGTGTCATGGAGCCGACCGTCTCGCTGGCGCCGGAGGCCGGGGAGGACTTCCAGGCGGTGGCGGCAGCTGTGCAGGCAAACCCGGCGGTGGTCCTGCTCGATAACGGCTGCTCCCACCACCTGATGGGGACGAAGGAAGTCTTCGTCGACTTGCAGCCGAGCGGCTGCATCAAGCACGTGCGCGGCTTCAATGGGGCGCTGCAGGACGTCCAGGGCCGCGGCACTGTCGCCCTGCAAGGGGAGGCCGGGAAGCAGGTGCTCATCCCCGACGTGCTGTACGTCCCGGGTGTGCGGGCAAACCTGCTGTCGTCCGGCCAGCTGAAGGAGCACGTCGTGAAGCTGCAGGAGGACGGCGACGGGATGCTGCTCGTCTCGGCAGCGGGAGAGGTGCTCGGCCGGGCGACGTACTCCGGGCGTGTGCTCTGCACCGACCTGCGTCCCTGCTCAACGAGGTCGACGTCGCCCACGCCAGAGGTCGTGGCCCTGCGGGCGATCGTCTCGGTGACGAAGTCGACGCCGGACAGGCTGCATGCGCGGCTTGCACACGTCGGCATGGACACCATCCGGAGCTCGGCGAAGCACGAGGTCGCCACTGGCCTGGACCTCAAGTCGGCGTCGGGCGCCGACTCACCGTGTGTCTCGTGCGTCGGCGGGAAGCTGGCGCGGCACACCTTCCCCGACCAAGGCTCCGACGCCGACGACGTGCTGGCCGTCGTGCACATCGACCTGTGTGGGCCGTTCCGCGTGGCTGCCAAGGACGGCAGCTTGTACTTCTTGCTGCTGAAGGACCGCAAGACCCGCTACGTGTGGGTGAAGCCGGTCGCCAAGAAGTCGGACGTGCTGCTGGAGTTCCAGAAGTGGCTGGTGTTGGTGGAGAGGCAGGTGCAGAAGTCGGTGCTGATGCTGCGCTCAGACCGAGGAGGGGAGTTCCTCGGGAAGAAGTTCACCGACTTCGTGGACAGCAAGGGTATCGTCCACGACCTCACCTGCCCGTACACCCCTCAGCAAAACGGCATGGCGGAGCGGGAGATGAGGACGGTGGTGGAGTCGGTGCGGACGATGCTACTGCACATGGGCGTGCAGCACCACTGGTGGCACCTTGCTCTGCGGCAGGCCGTCTGGGTCCGCAACTGCCTTGAGAGGGCGACGTTGCCGCCGGGGACGACGCCGTATCAGCTCCTCACCGGGACGAAGCCCGACTTGTCGCTAGCACGAGTGTGGGGCTGCATGGCCCAGTTCTTGGTCCCCGAGCAACAGCGTGGTGGGAAGCTGAAGCCGAAGGCCAGGTGGGGCCTTCACCTCGGCGTGTCGAAGGAGAGCAAGGGCCGGGAGCTCCTCGACGTTGCCGACCACCGGGTGGTCACCACGTCGGACGTGGTGTTTTACGAGGATATGTCGCTGGAAGTGTGGAAGTCGGAGCACGGGCCGGTGTCAGGACGGGCGTCGACCACCCCGCCGACCGACACCTCGCCGGCGACGCTGCCTCTGCTCGCCGAGGTCGGTGAGCTTGCTGCTGAGGACGTCGAGGTCGTCCGTCCTCCTTCCCCTCCCTCTTCGACCTCTGCCCCTCCACTCCTGGCCGACCTGCGCGGGCTGACCTCAGTGTCGGCCTCCGGCGATGAGGGGAGTAGTGGGACGACGCCTTCGGCGCCGGCCAAGAGCATCGCCGGTGGTCGACGTAACGAGCAGCAAGTCGACGCGGGAGTGCAGTCGACGTTGCTAGGGGAGGAGCAGGTCGAGGAGAAGCAGGCGACAGAGGAGCAGGCAGCAGTGAGGCCGACTACGGAGCAGTCGGCAACCGGGCAGTCGGCAGGGGAGCCGACCGCAGGGGAGAAGTCGGCCAGGAAGTCGACTGAGGTGCAGCAGGACGGTGACAAAGGAGGGGACGCCGAGGAGTCCACCAAGAACGACGTGGTGGAGGTTCGGCCTGAACCCCGGAAGTCAGGCCGACTTCGGAGGCCGCCCGACTTCTTTGTCCCCGCTGCCTTCACCACGGTGTACGACGTGGACGACGACGACCTGGCGTATGACGACGCCGAGGAGGATGAGGAGTTTCCGGAGCTTGACCCCGACATGCATGCCGACCCCGAGCACCGCTGGGACATCTCGACGATGACGGTGAAGGAGGCGTTGGCGAGCTGGAAGGGCCCAGTGGTGAAGGCCGCCATGGAGGAGGAGATCCGCAGCTTCATCAACATGGGCACTTGGGAGCTGGTCGAATGCCCGCCGGGAGTGAACATCATGAAGAACCGGTGGGTGCTGACGACGAAGTACCGCATCGACGACACCGTCGAGCGCGAGAAGGCGAGGCTGGTCGTGAAGGGCTTCACACAGGTGTATGGCACCGACTACGACGAGACGTACGCGCCAGTGAGCAGCTATGTCACGCTGAGGATCTTCCTCAGCATCGTCGCCGTGCTCAACCTCAACCTGATGCAGCTCGACATGAAGAACGCCTTCCTGCAGAGCAAGCTCGACCGGGTGCTCTACATGTACCAGCCGGACCACTTCACTGACGGGACCGGCCGGGTGTGTAAGCTACTGAAGAGCCTGTACGGGCTGAAGCAATCGCCGCTGCTGTGGTACTTGGCGCTCAACGACGTGCTGGTCGGCGCCGGGTGGAAGAAGAGCCAGGTCGACGAGGCTCTGTACTTCAAGGTCGACAAGGTGGCCTGCTGGGTGCTGGTCTACGTCGACGACCTGCTCGCCGCCAGCAGCAGTGCCGAGATGCTGAAGAAGCTGAAGGAGTTGCTGGAGGCTGCCTTCGAGCTGCGGGAGATCTCGCCGGTACAGAAGTACCTCGGGCTGGAGATCGTGCGCGACAGGTCGGCAAGGAAGCTGTGGCTCCACAAGCAGGGCTATGCAGACAAGCTTCGTAGGCGTTTTCTCGACGAAGAGCAGACTGGGCGCACCCCGAAGACGCCGGTCTCGGTCGACGCCTATGCTGAGCTCACCTTCGACGACGAAGAGGCACAGGAGCGCTAGGAGGAGGAGTACCGGCAGAAGGTCGGCTCGCTGCAGTTTGCGGCGACAACGACAAGGCCGGACATCGCCTTTGCCTGCAGCAAGCTGGGGAGCGGCCTCACGGTGAGAAGCGACCAGCACTAGCGCGAGGTCGACCGCTGCCTCGCCTACCTCGCCAACACCCGTGACACCGCCCTGGAGTTTGGCGGTGGACTAGAGTCGCTGAAGCTGGTCGGCTACGTGGACGCCGACGACGCCGGCGACAAGCAGAACCGGACGAGCACGGGCGGCTACGTGTTCGTCTACGGAGGGGCCGCAGTCTCCTGGTCGAGCCAGCGCATCAAGTGCGCGACACTGTCGTCGACCGAGTCGGAGTATGTGGCGGCAACAGAAGCCGGCAAGGAGGGACGTCGACTTCGTTTTCTTCTTGCAGAATTCCAGCAGCTGGACGCCGGGACGCCGACTGTCCTTCGGGTGGACAACAAGTCGGCCATCACAGTCGCCGAGGGCATGGGGTTGACGGGCAACCTCAAGCACATGGAACGGCGACAAGCCTGGCTGCAGCACATGGTGTAGCGTGGGAAGTTCTCACTGAGGTACATCCCGACCGCTGAGCAGCCAGCCGACTTCTTGACGAAGGCGCTGCACTACCCGGCCTTCAACCGGTGCTCCCTAACAATCGGCCAAGTGCGCCTGGTCGACGTGGGCGACGGTGACAACGACGTGCAGCAGTAGGTGCCATGCCCTCTTGCATGGCTGGTGCGGTGACCGGCGTGCTGTGTGTTGGGTGCACGCCGACGGGCTATTCTCCGAGTGGTGCTGCCGTGTGGGCTGGGGGCCCAAGCGTGAACGCGGCAGGGGAGTGTCAACGGGAGTTGTGGTTGGCCCCGTCCTCGCTTGGGCGGAGCCGACTTCGTAGTCGGGTGTGCGGGGAGCACAGCCGATCAGTAGTTGCAGTGAGGGCGCTCAGCTGGAGGGCGCCGAGCAGGAGGGCGCCGTCATGGGCGCCTGGACGGCGTCCTGGGAGGCTAGACGCCGACCTGGGCGTCTGGACGGCGTCCTGGGCGCCTGGACGCCGACCTGGGCGCCTGGACGGCGTCCAGGGAGGCTGGACGTCGACCTGGGCCCCTGGACGCCGACCTGGGCGCCTGGACGGCATCCTGGGAGGCTGGACGCCGACCTGGGCGTCTGGACGGCGTCCTGGCCGCCTGGACGCCGACCTGGGCGCCTGGACGCCGACCTGAGCGTCTGCACGGCGTCTTGGGCACCCAGACGCCGACCTAGGCGCCTGGACGTCGACCTGGGTGCTGGGACACTTCATCAGGGGAAGCCGACTTAGTGTGGTCGGCTGACAGGTGTGCTGGTCGACCAGGAGGGTTGTCGACCTGGAGCTGGTCGACCAAGGTTGTGGTCGACCTGGTGAGGTCGGCTAAAGGTGGTCGTCGACTTGGGAGGTCGACGCGCATATACAGGAGCAGCTGGTCGACGTGGTTGCCCGGTCGACCGGGTTACCTGGGTGACGAGGTTCTGCGGAAGTGTGCGACGGTCGCCCAGGCGATGTTGGCGAGACCGACCTCGGTGGTGGTATCCCGAGGTCGACGTGGCGGATCAGGTGGAGTCGTCAGCACGAGGATGACTTGGTGTGTGCGTTGTGCAGGTGACGAGGCTCAGCACGCCAATCATTTGCGCGCACCTGCGAAGCCGGTGCGCTGCTGTTCTGCGGGAGCAACGCTGGCACGCCGTCGACCTGCAGCGTTGGCACGCCGTCGACTTTGCACTGCTGGAGCGTGGTCGACCAAGTCGTGCTGGAACGCGGTCGACCATGCTGCGCTGGCAGTCGACCGACCTGAATGCTAGCTCTGATGTAGTCTTGTCTTGCCAACCTGAATGCACCATTGTTGTCAACTTTCTCTAGTGAAACTCTTGCCAAATAACCCCGTGGTCTAGCAAGCAGTGTGTGCACTAGGAAAACGACTAAGGAACAACGAACGCAGAGATCACACGAGCACCCGTGCCTAGCCCGTAATCTAGCTCCCGTTGTAGTAGTTATCTCCGCATTGATTAAGAGGTGTAAGGCAATTGCTAAGGGGGCTGTTGGGTCTACCCTCGAACCACAGATTGTGGCGGATGCTTGGTTGGGTTCTCAACAAATAGTAAGCCTCCAATAAAGTTGGTAAAACCCAACCAGCAACCATTGGACCCCCAACAATGTTGCCCAACCAGCAACCATTGGACCCCCAACAATGTTGCCCAACCAGCAACCATTGGACCCCCAACAATGTTGCCCAACCAGCAACCATTGGACCCCCAACAATGTTGCCCAACCAGCAACCATTGGACCCCCAACAATGTTGCCCAACCAGCAACCATTGGACCCCCAACAATGTTGCCCAACCAGCAACCATTGGACCCCCAACAATGTTGCCCAACCAGCAACCATTGGACCCCCAACAATGTTGCCCAACCAGCAACCATTGGACCCCCAACAATGTTGCCCAACCAGCAACCATTGGACCCCCAACAATGTTGCCCAACCAGCAACCATTGGACCCCCAACAATGTTGCCCAACCAGCAACCATTGGACCCCCAACAATGTTGCCCAACCAGCAACCATTGGACCCCCAACAATGTTGCCCAACCAGCAACCATTGGACCCCCAACAATGTTGCCCACTTGGACTGGTCGCTGCAAGCACACATTCAACACCTCTCCTCGCGTTTTGAGGCCCTCATATGATTGTGGCACTTTTCCTCTTATCCCTTCGCAATGTTTATGTCGAGAAGCCGCCGCCAGTCTGCCAAGAAGCAACGTCGCACCTCCTCATGCATCAAGCAGGCGCAACGGCTCTGTTTCTTCATTTCTGACAGGGCTGGCTGGCAGCCCTTCCATTCACCCAAACCTCCGTTTCTCTTGGCTCCTTGGGAATTCCTTTCAAAACCCTTTGGAGATTTCTAGCATAGAGCTTCTCCCCAGGCAGCTGGTGGTTATCCTCATGGATAAGGGAATAGCGTCTGATCTACGTGCTCCATTAGGGTGCTGTCCGTACGGCCAAATTTCCAGCTAGCTCTGTGCATTGACTTGTGAATTATGTACGATGAATATATAACAGTAATTGTTGGGACTGCAAATGATTGTTGGTCGAGCCAGCCCATGTTCTCTCTCTACCTTTGTGCATCTTAGTTCAATCGGTACAATCTTCGCATGCCATTGCGTGTACTACACAGCAACCTCTTTGATTGGTCAATATAGTGGCCAATGGAGAGCTTTCTGCCACATCATTTTGAAATTGCCGTGTTCTATAGAGCATAGCCATGTACCTCAATTATAGTTTTTCTTCCAACCTTTGTTGGTTAGGAACGTACTGACCGCCGCTAAATCGAGCATGAAATATGCATACTCAGTGTTCATTTTGCATTCGCCAATATCAAGATATAAATCCGCATTCCATGGGAACAAAATTCTTGGCGCAATGCAAATTCGGACACTACGTGCGAAGTATTCAAAACGAAGGCATATGTATCCGTTTACATGCTTACTTCTCACCCTTGCGGACGCCGGGCCGGGTCCCCACTCACCCTTGCAGCTGCCGGGTCCCCACTCACCCTTGCGGCTGCCGGGTCCCCAGTAGTAGTACCACACATAGAGCGATACGAGCAGCACCACACAGCCCACCCCACGCACACCCCCACCGCACTCACCATCGCACCCCATTCGCCCTCGCCCCACTCACCCTTGCGGCTGCCGGGTCCCCAGTAGTAGTACCACACGTAGAGCGATACGAGCAGCACCACACAGCCCACCCCACGCACACCCCCACTGCACTCACCATCGCACCCCATTCGCCCTCGCCCCACTCACCCTTGCGGCTGCCGGGTCCCCAGTAGTAGTACCACACGTAGAGCGATACGAGCAGCACGACCAGCACAATCACCACACTCCCCACCACAAGGCCTGCTATGCCTGATGTCGATAGCACTGGTGGACGGGCGGTGTAGGGAAAATGGGGAAAGAGTGAATGGGTGGGTCGGATTAGAGAGAGATAGGAGGTGCCATGCACGCACACAAATGTGTAGAGCAGCGCTGCAAGCAGCAGTGCCATACAGCTCACCACAATGCCTGCTATGCCTGCTGTCGACAGCACTGGTGGGCAGGCCACACAAGGGATCGGGCATGGGGACAGTGCAGTGAGAGTAAATCTCAGGAAAAGAACCGAGGGCATTGAGAGTAGATCTCAGGAGAAGAACCGAGGCTGGATGAAAACCAAACCTTCCAGAGTTGAGAGCAGGTAATGACAGGGTGGGATGGAATCCCACCCAGTGAGTGACCGGCAGGCATGGGAATAAACCAACGTGCAGGTGAATGAAGGAACAAAGAGAGTATGAAGGGGCAGTGGATTCAAGAGGTGTGGCCATAGCATGCATGCAGCATGCGGCAGGCACATCGGCCTGAACCACTGCGTGCCACAGAGACTGACCAAATGATTGAGGGAGAGAGAGGGTTACCTGGTGGTTGGCAGGCCTTGCAGAAGTCGTGGCAGAAGTCTTGGCAGAGGAGGGAGCAGTAGGGCAGGTGACAGGTGGGAGAGGGAGAGCGGGTGAGAGAGGGTTACCTGGTGGTTGGCAGTGGGAGAGGGTTACCTGGTGGCTGGCAGGCCTTGCAGAAGTCTTGGCAGAGGAGGGAGCAGTAGGGCAGGTCCGTCTGAAGGGTGCCGGGACAGCAGGAGTCGACAGGGTGCGTGGGGCAGTGCAGCTTGGTGTTAGTGAGCGTGCTGTGAGAGGGGACGGGGGAGAGAGGGGGGAGAAGGGAGGGAGAATGGTGATGCATGCTTGGTGCCGGGACAGCAGGAGTCGACAGGGTGCGTGGGGCAGTGCAGTGGAGCTTGGTGCTGGTGAGTGTGCTGGTGAGTGTGCTGGTGAGTGTGCTGGTGAGTGTGCTGGTGTGAGAGGATGGGGGGGGGAAAGGGGGGATAGAGGGGGGGGCGAATGGTGGATGCTTGGTTGGTATTGGCGCAGAGTGAGAGCAGGGAGCAGGGCAGTGAGGCGTACAGAATGCCGAGGGACTGAATGGTGGCCCAGCAGGGCGGCGAAAGCAGGGGGCAGGGCAAGAGGGAGCGCATGGGGGGAAATCACGGAGGGAAGAGCTGAGCAGTGAGGCGTACAGAGTGCCGAGGGACTGAACGGTGGCCCAGCAGGGCGGCAGCTTGCCCTCCAGCAGCGGATTGTGGCCGACAGACCTGGTGAGGGGGAAGGGGGAGGGCAGGCACGCATGCAGGCATGCAGGCAGGCAGGCATGCAGGCAGGCAGGCAGGCAGGCAGGCAGGCAGGCAGGCAGGCAGGCAGGCAGGCAGGCAGGCAGGCAGGCATGCAGGCATGCAGGCAGGCATGCAGGCAGGCAGGCATGCAGGCAGGCAGGCATGCAGGCAGGCAGGCATGCAGGCAGGCAGGCATGCATGCAGGCAGGCAGGCAGGCAGGCAGGCAGGCAGGCAGGCAGGCAGGCAGGCAGGCAGGCAGGCAGGCAGGCAGGCAGGCAGGCAGGCATGCAGGCATGCAGGCAGGCATGCAGGCAGGCAGGCATGCAGGCAGGCAGGCATGCAGGCAGGCAGGCATGCAGGCAGGCAGGCATGCAGGCAGGCAGGCATGCCGGCAGGCAGGCATGCAGGCAGGCATGCAGGCAGGCAGGCATGCAGGCAGGCATGCAGGCAGGCATGCAGGCAGGCATGCAGGCAGGCATGCAGGCAGGCAGGCAGGCAGGCATGCAGGCAGGCAGGCAGGCATGCAGGCATGCAGGCAGGCATGCAGGCAGGCAGGCATGCAGGCAGGCATGCAGGCAGGCATGCAGGCAGGCAGGCATGCAGGCAGGCATGCAGGCAGGCAGGCATGCAGGCAGGCAGGCATGCAGGCATGCAGGCAGGCAGGCAGGCAGGTATTCAGGCAACGGATTGTGGTTAAGAGACCTGATGGGAGAGGCACAATGCAGTGTGGGGAGGGGGGGGAAAGAGAGGAGACGAGAGGAGACGAGGCAAGAGAAAAGGAGAGAAGCGAAGAGGGGAGGAGAAAGAGAGGAAGAAAGACGGATGCTGCACAAGGGGAGAGGGCGTCTGAGAGGGGAGAGGGCGTCTGAGAGAGGGGCACAAGGGGAGAGGGCATTGGGCGCGTGAGAGAGGGGCAGGCAGAACAGAAAATGCTGGAGCCAAAGAAGCAAAGGACGGAACAGACAGACCGTTTAAGAGACCAGCTGACTGGTCTGTGACTTCATGAGGCCATCGGCTGACAGTGCTGGAGTGGGCAGCACATGGCAGGCTGGCTGGCTTACCAGTCATGATAAAAGTTAAAACGAAGTTGGTGAGATGAGATGGTCATGCACGGTCACAAAGAAAGAGGTTTCATAAAGTTTTGGGACATCTCAAAACTCGATGATTATCACGCGGATTATTATAAAGTTTTTTTTTTCAAGACATTTCTATGTCTGAAGTTGGTGAGATGGTCACGGCCATAAAGAGGTTTCAATATTTGGTGAAACTCTGACAAAGAACCACGCTGGTGAGGCGAGTTCCATACAGGATTGGCTAGACGATCAATTTGGAACAGCTGTCGAGAGATGGTTACAAATGGTAATTTGGTTACAATTCAACAAGATTGGTGAGTTCCCCCAGCGAGATTGGAAGTGTGCCCGAGACATTGTTGCGACTCAAATGGCTGGCAGAGGGGAATGGATGGGGTGGCAATGGAGGAAAGAGAAACGGCATGGGATGAGGGAGAGAGGCATGGAGGGAAAGAGCTCAATTCTAGCATCTTGCGACGTCTCAAAACTCAATGGATGGGAATGGATGAGGGAGTGAGATGTGCAGGGAAAGAGCTCGATCCTAGCAAAGCCAGAACTCAACACGCAGGGGGGGAAAATGAGGCGGATTGTAGACCACCCACCACCAGTCCTGGTGAGCTGTGTTCCTCCCTCATGTGCTGAGACACAGAGGTACGGTACAGCTGATTCCTCACATGACCACCCACCACGCACCACCAGTCCTGGTGAGCTGTGTTACTTGCTCATGTGCTGGCAGATGAGACACAGAGGTATGGTACAGCTGATTCCTCACATGACCGGCCAAGTTGGACTAGAATGTACAGTCCGATCAATCTGAATATGGATGGAGTCTCCATTATTGTGGTGCGAAGGGCTCGAATTTGTCTCGATGGTTCCAACTTGTAAGTATCAAGTCCTCATCCCAACCCTACGTCTCTCAACACCATGTTTTATGAAAACCCTTGAGACCTCCCTTCCCTTGCCCAAACATCCAGACTGAGTATTCAGTAACTTCAGGGTCCTCATGTGATCCACAATTCTGTCATTCTAGTTAACTGAACCATTCAATCTGTAGGCTCACTCACGAATACGATTCACAAGTACTGCACACACTCACAAGTACTGCACACACTCACAAGTGCTACACACACTCACAAGTACTGCACACACTCACAAGTGCTGCACACACTCACAAGTACTGCACACACTCACAAGTGCTACACACACTCACAAGTACTGCACACACTCACAAGTGCTACACACACTCACAAGTACTACACACACTCACAAGTACTGCACACACTCACAAGTGCTACACACACTCACAAGTACTGCACACACTCACAAGTGCTACACACACTCACAAGTACTGCACACACTCACAAGTGCTACACACACTCACAAGTACTGCACACACTCACAAGTGCTACACACACTCACAAGTACTGCACACACTCACAAGTGCTACACACACTCACAAGTACTGCACACACTCACAAGTGCTGCACACACTCACAAGTACTGCACACACTCACAAGTGCTACACACACTCACAAGTACTGCACACACTCACAAGTGCTACACACACTCACACGTACTGCACACACTCACAAGTGCTACACACACACAAGTGCTGCACGTGCACGCACTCACAAGTACCGCACACACTCACATGCACTGCTCACACTCACAAGTACTGAAGGCTCGTCATGTGGCCCCACGAGTCAGGGATGGAGCCTGACAGACCCATGTCCGTTAGATGGCTGGGAGGGGGGCGAGCACGACAGAGGGGAGGGTGCGACGGTGGTGTGAACAAGTGAAGGGAATGAGGATGACTACAATGAGAGAGGGGAGGAGAGGGTCAGTGAGAAAGAGGGATGCAGCTAAGGGTGTAAAAACGAATACGGATTCGAATACGGTTATCTTAAACGAATACTCAAACGTCGAATACTTTCGAATAGTAAGGGGTATTTGTATTTGTTTTGTATTTGATATTTGTCGAATATCGAATACTAATACGAATACAGTGGTATTTGTTTACACCCTTAGATGCGGCTTGACAGACCCATGTCCGTTAGATGGCTGGGAGGGGGGCGAGCATGAGAGGGCGAGATGGAAGAGGTGAGGGGCAGAGAGCAAGAGGGATGGGCCGATGGGGACTGACAGAGCCATGCCCATGGGATGGCAGGAAGGAGGCACGCGGAGCAGGGCATGAGATGGACGGCTCTTTACCACTTTGAGCTGGTCCAAAGGCTTGAATGACAGGCGACAAACGCCATAGCTAGCAGGAGGGCGGGGCGTACAGGTGGGTGAGGCGTACGTGTGGGTGAGGAGGCGTACAGGTGGGTGAGGAGGCGTACAGGTGGGTGAGGAGGCGTACAGGTGGGTGAGGAGGCGTACAGGTGGGTGAGGAGGCGTACAGGTGGGTGACGAGGCGTACAGGTGGGTGAGGTTCTTGAGCTGCGAGAAGGACTCCGGCAGCGACCCTCCCATGGGGTTGGAGTAGAGCTTTCTGTGAGGGGCAGGGGTGGGGTGGGGTGGAATGGAGTGAGGTGACCGAGGCAGGTGGGTGAGGGTAGCGTTATGGCAGGGCATGGACAGTACAGCGACCCTTCCATAGGGTTGGAGTAGAGCTTTCTGTGCGAGAGCAGTGTCAAACATGTGGACAAGAGGGACAATGGTTTTTAGAGATTAATAATACTGCCTTGAGAGAGAATAAAAAAAACGGGCTGTGAGAGAGAGCGTTCAAGTGTTAGGGAAGGAAGGAACTGGGCGCCAAGGGATGTTGCCTATGCCAAGGAAAGGATTCGAACCAGAACAAGCTGAGTGTTGCCTATGCCATCTACAGCCATCTACAGCCATCTACAGCCATCTACAGCCATCTATAGGATGTTCAACAAGTAAAAAGGGTACTCAGACATCTTGATGGTTCAGGAGGTCGCGGTAACAAAACTTGGCATAATTGCATGACGAAAAAGTGGTGAATGTCAACAAGGTAGGCGTTACTAGAAAGGCAATGGCATAAGGTAGACAGTGGTGGGTGGTAGTAGGAACAGTCACAGCTGCTGCACTCACTCAGTGGCAGCACACTCACAGCTCCTGCACTCACTCAGTGGCAGCACACTCACAGCTCCTGCACTCACTCAGTGGCAGCACACTCACAGCTCCTGTACTCACTCAGTGGCAGCACACTCACAGCTCCTGTAGCTTGGTCATGCTGCCAAAGAAGGACGGCAGAGGGCCCGAGAAGGAATTGTTGTTGGCGAAACTGCCATCGGCGCCGTGCATGCCATGACGGGAGGTGCGGGGGGGGGGGAGGTAAGGGGGGGAAGACTTTTGAGGCGCCTCAACAATCTTGGTGCCAAAGAAGGGCGGAAGAGGGCCCGTGAAGGAGTTGTTGCTGGAGAAACTGCCGCGCTATGCATGCGGTGAAGGGAAGTGCGGGGGGAGGGGAAGGTTTTTGAGTCGACTCAAAAGCAAAGTGGGTTGACAGAGGGCCCGTGAAGGAGTTGTTGCTGGCGAAACTGCCATCCGTGCAGTGAAGTGAAGGGGAGGTGGGGGGGGGGAAGGTGGTGGGGGGGGCAGGTGTGGGGGGGAGGTACGGGGGGGTGGTGGTGTGGAGGGATGAGTGCGATGAGGTACGGGGGGGAGGTACGGGGGGAGGGTTGCAAGAACGGGGATGGGTTAAGGAGAAAGAGAAATATGGGCATGGGGACAAGCAGGAATGGCACTTGCAAGCTTTCTTGCAAGAGGGGCAGGGAAGGGATGAGTGGCAAGAGGGAGTGGGAGGGGATGAGTGGCGAGAGGGACTGGAAAGGGGTGAGTGGCGAGAGGGAATGGAAAGGGGTGAGTGGCGAGAGGGACTGGAAAGGGGTGAGTGGCGAGAGGGACTGGAAAGGGGTGAGTGGCGAGAGGGACTGGAAAGGGGTGAGTGGCGAGAGGGACTGGAAAGGGGTGAGTGGCGAGAGGGACTGGAAAGGGGTGAGTGGCGAGAGAGACTGCTAAGGGATGAGTGCGAAAAAGGCACAGGAAGGAAGGGAGGAAGGAGGGAGGGAGAGAGCTGACAAGAGGCTGAGTTTGGTGAGTGCTGAGAAGCTGTAAGACATGTCTTTGAATCGATTAGAAACATGCTTTCACTCAAGAATGAGTGACACGAGGCACGGGAAGGAAGGGAGGACCTACAAGAGGCGTAAGAAAGGAGGGAGGACTGACAAGTGGCGTGGGAAGGGAGGGAGGACTGACAAGAGGCTGAGTTTGGTGAGCGCTGAGAAGTTGGCAGGCAGAGAGTTGAGTGGACTCAAAAACGAGAGACAAGAGGCATTGGAAGAGAGGGAGAACTGACAAGAGGCATGAGATGGGAGAAGGGAGGAAGGACTGACAAGAGGCTGAGTTTGGTGAGCGCTGAGAAGTTGGCAGGCAGAGAGTTGGAGAATCCGTTGCGCTCCAGTCGACTGGTGAATGCAAACAGCAGGCGTTCCCGGTTCATTCATCCCCCCACTCACACACGCCATTCTCCTCCCCTCTCGACCATACCCCACCGTACCACACACAGACGGATACACACAGATGCAGAATACCAAGTAGACACAGAAACGAACAGACACAACCATGCACGCACAAGCCCGCACGGCCACAGACGAGAAGAGGAGTGTTGACATGAGATGAGTGCTGTTGAGTAATTGCAAAACTGATTCACAGTGCCCGGGTGCAAAAATATAAAATTCAATATCCTCACGAAAAGTTTTGTTTTTTTATCTACTTTTCTTTAACAATGAGTTCCTCTGTCTCCGGCCTCTGTGTGTGAGGTGTTGCCGCTCGAGGTGGGCGGTGGACGGCATGCGTGCGTGCGTGATGAGGTGAGCCCGTTGCCTCCCCTTATCCGGCCCCTCCCTTCCTTACCTCATCCCCCCACAAATGAACGCACAGGGCGTGAAGGTGCATGAGGTTAATGATGGATCATCCCTTCTCTTCCTCATCCCCTCTCCCTCACGCCCTCACTCCGTCCTTCCCTCCACTCGTCCCTCTCCCAGCAATGAACGCACAGTGTGTGAAGGCACTTGAGGTTAGTGATCAACTCTGGCACCAAGCCATAGAGGCTGTTGCCGCTTAAGGTGGGCTGTGGATCATGCGTTCAATCGTGTCCTTACCTCATCCGTCCACAAATGAACGCACAGGGTTTAGGGTTGTTGCCATTACAGGTGAGCGTTGGATTGATCATCCCCTCCCCCCCTTTTCAGAGATGCACGCACAGGGTGTGAAGGTGCTTGAGTTTCGTGATGGATGCTGGTACCATGCCTTCGAACTGATTCCCGCCCAGATTGCTGCACACACACATGGGGGAGCAGCACCGGGCGGGGATTTTTGTCTGGAATCAACGACTGCCAGTGAGCCTGTTGCTGCCCATGTTGCTGCAAACACGAAGACAGGGAGGGGGGGGTGTGTTTGAGTGTGCTGGAGTTGCTCCTGGGTCATATTGGAGCAGGAGGAAGGCGATGGACTGTGGGAAGTGGTGTGCGGTTGTAACGAGTCAGGGGCTGCTAGGGGGTAAAGTGAGTGAGGCTGCATGCTTGGGAACTCATCGCTGCAAATGTTGTTGGTACATTGGGAGAGGAGGGGCCGGATAAGTGAGATGTGATAGGGGGGGAAGAATAAGGTGGGAAGGCAGAACGAGAGAAAAAGCGTATCATCTCACATGGCGCATCATCTCACATGGCGTATCGTCTCACATCACATGGCGCATCATCTCACATGGCGTATCGTCTCATCTCACATGGCGTATCATCTCACATCACATGGCGTATCATCTCACACGGCGTATCATCTCACATGGCGTATCATCTCACATGGGGTATCATCTCACATGGCGTATCATCTCACATGGCGTATCATCTCACATGGCGTATCGTCTCACATGGCATATCATCTCACATCACATGGCGTATCATCTCACACGGCGTATAATCTCACATGGCATATCATCTCTTAAGGGCCTCACAACAGTTGCAGCAGGTTGGAGAGGGTCCCCTCCAGGGGCCCCAGAAACCCCACGTGGTGATCAACCTGTCATCCCACACACGCCTCACTGCATTTGTAGGTTGGTCAGGGTCCAAAGAAACCCCACGTGGTGATCAACCTATCATCCCACACACGCCTCACAGCATTTGTAGGTTGGTCAGGGTCCAAAGAAACCCCACGTGGTGATCAACCTATCATCCCACACACGCCTCACAGCATTTGTAGGTTGGTCAGGGTCCAAAGAAACCCCACGTGGTGATCAACCTATCATCCCACACACGCCTCACAGCATTTGTAGGTTGGTCAGGGTCCAAAGAAACCCCACGTGGTGATCAACCTATCATCCCACACACGCCTCACTGCATTTGTAGGTTGGTCAGGGTCCAAAGAAACCCCACGTGGTGATCAACCTATCATCCCACACACGCCTCACAGCATTTGTAGGTTGGTCAGGGTCCAAAGAAACCCCACGTGGTGATCAACCTATCATCCCACACACGCCTCACAGCATTTGTAGGTTGGTCAGGGTCCAAAGAAACCCCACGTGGTGATCAACCTATCATCCCACACACGCCTCACTGCATTTGTAGGTTGGTCAGGGTCCAAAGAAACCCCACGTGGTGATCAACCTATCATCCCACACACGCCTCACAGCATTTGTAGGTTGGTCAGGGTCCAAAGAAACCCCACGTGGTGATCAACCTATCATCCCACACACGCCTCACAGCATTTGTAGGTTGGTCAGGGTCCAAAGAAACCCCACGTGGTTATCAACCTATCATCCCACAGAGCGTAGCACCTCTCAAAAGCCTCACAGGATTTACAGGCTGGTTAGGGTCCCCAGGGCAGGGAGCAAGGCAGGGAGAATCATCCCATGCCATGCCAGAAGCCTCAGAGAGGGCACAGTATCTCTGAGGGGCCTCACAGGATTTGCAGGTTGGTTAGGTCCCCCAGGGACCAGGGCAGAGAGCCGTTGAGCTGATTTCCGTCCAGCTGCCTGCCAGGGGGGAGGGAGAGGGGGAGGGGGGGAGGGGGAAGGGTGAGGGGGGAGGGTGAGGGGGGAGGGTGAGGGGGGAAAGGGGAGGGGGAATGTGCGAGGGGTAAGGCAAGGCAGGGAGCCGGTTAGCTGATTTCCGTCCAGCTGCCTGCCAGGGGGGGAGGGAGAGAGGGAGGGGGGAGGGTGAGGGGGGAAAGGGGAGGGGAAATGTGCGAGGGGGAAGGCAAGGCAGGGAGCCGGTTAGCTGATTTCCGTCCAGCTGCCTGCCAAGGGAGGGGTGGGGGGAGCGAGAGGGGCCAGGGACGAGGGCGAGGGGCGAGGGGGGTGAGAGGGGCGAGGGGAGTGAGAGGGGCGAGGGGAGTGAGAGGGGTGAGGGGAGTGAGAGGGGCGAGGGGAGTGAGAGGGGTGAGGGGAGTGAGAGGGGCGAGGGGAGTGAGAGGGGCGAGGGGAGTGAGAGGGGCGAGGGGAGTGAGAGGCGCGAGGGACGAGGAGAGGAAGGCGAGGGGCAGCAGAGGGGGGGTTTGAGACGAGGGCGATAATACAGTATGGCGCATGGAAGAGGAGGGAGGTGAGAGGGCAGTGAGACATATGTGAGGGAAGGGATAGTCTCTGGTCAGGAAGACAGAGAAGAGGGCCTGAGTAGAGGGGTGGAAGTCTGGAGTATCAAAAGGGAAAGAAGATCAATGTGCAATGTGAGGCAGTTGGAAAGGGTTTTGAGAAGTCTCAAAACACTTCTTCATACACGAAAGGCAATGTGCAATGTGAGGCAGTTGGAAAGGCGGAGGGAGGAAGAAAAGGCAGATAGGTGCTGCAGTGGGAAGGCATGACTGTGGGGGCAGCATGTAACAAGTATTTACGAATGAACCACTAGGTTGACTTCTGATTTGATTCAGAAGGGCGGAGAGGTGCTGCAGAGGCTTTTGGGACTTGTAAAAAATGACTCTGGCATGACCTCGAACAATCAAACCACTAGGTTGGGGCCAGCATGTTTCTACGAGCAAAGCACTGGGTTAGGGGGGCAAGGGACGAGGGGGAGCAATGCATGAGCGATTGGAGGGGACGGGAGAGGAAGAGAGGACCCAGAGAGAAGGTACGGAGGGAGAGAGGCGTAGAGGGAGGGTAGGAAGCAAGAGAGGGTGGACAGGGAGGGTATGAGCATACAGGAAAGTGAAGGGGGGATACAGAGGAGTGAGGGGGCATACAGGGAGGTGAGGAGGCGTACAGGGAGGTGAGGAGGCGTACAGGGAGGTAAGGGGGCATACAGGGAAGTGAAGGGGGCATACAGGGAGGTGAGGGGGCGTACAGGGAGGTGAGGGGGCGCACAGGGAGGTGAGGGGGCGTACAGGTAGGTGAGGGGGCGTACAGGGAGGTGAGGAGTCGTACAGGGAGGTGAGGAGGCGTACAGGGAGGTGAGGAGGCGTACAGGGAGGTGAGGGGGCGTACAGGGAGGTGAGGGGGCGTACAGGGAGGTGAGGGCGGTGAGCTTGCCAAGCTGATCAGAGAGATTTCCCCTGATGCCGGCTTGAGACAGCTTTCTGCCAACACAGCACACACACACCAGCACGAGGACGAGGGGAGGTGGGTGGCCGTTCAGAGCGGATTGGAACAAACAAGGGTGACTTGTGAGTCAACTCCATGCCGGCTTGAGACAGCTTCCTGCCAGCATGCACACGCGGACCACCAGTGGCGGAGCATTTAGAACGGATTAAGGCAGACTTGAGTACGCGTGTGTGGCAATGGGGTGTGGTGACAGTGTGAGGAGAGTGTGATGTGAGGAGAGTGTGAGGAGAGTGTGAGGGGAGTGTGAAGACAGAGTGAGGGGAGTGCAGTGTGAAGGAATGCCGACATTAAAAGATATGCTGTGGGTGGGATGGCTGAGATGGCATGTTCACACACATGCACGCACACATGCACACACACATGCACGCACACATGCACACACACATGCACGCACACATGCACACACACATGCACACACACATGCACGCACACATGCACGCACACATGCACACACACATGCACGCACACATGCACGCACACATGCACGCACACATGCACACACACATGCACGCACACATGCACGCACACATGCACACACACATGCACGCACACATGCACGCACACATGCACACACACATGCACGCACACATGCACACACACATGCACGCACACATGCACACACACATGCACGCACACATGCACGCACACATGCACACACACATGCACGCACACATGCACGCACACATGCACGCACACATGCACACACACATGCACGCACACATGCACGCACACATGCACACACACATGCACGCACACATGCACGCACACATGCACACACACATGCACGCACACATGCACCCACACATGCACCCACACATGCACCCACACATGCACACACACATGCACACACACATGCACACACACATGCACGCACACATGCACGCACACATGCACGCACACATGCACGCACACATGCACGCACACATGCACGCACACATGCACACACACATGCACACACACATGCACACACACATGCACACACACATGCACGCACACATGCACGCACACATGCACGCACACATGCACGCACACATGCACGCACACATGCACGCACACATGCACGCACACATGCACGCACACATGCACGCACACATGCACGCACACATGCACGCACACATGCACGCACACATGCACGCACACATGCACGCACACATGCACGCACACATGCACGCACACATGCACGCACACATGCACACACACATGCACACACACATGCACACACATGCACACACACATGCACACTCACACACAGCGTTACGCACAGGGCCATTGATGGAGTAGCATGTGGCATGTGGCATGTGGCATGTAATGCATGGAGGAGGATGGGACCCCAAAGCTGGGCATGTGTCGTGCGCACATGGTGCGCGTGGCATGGCATAGTGTGCATGCAATGACATGGTGTGCATGACACGGTATTGGTGTGCATTCATGGCATGGCATGGCATGGCATGGCATGGCTTCGTGGCATGGCACACCATGCACTTACAGCGCCACCAGTGAGCCACCCTGAGAGCATGCATGCTACTACCGCCCCCCCCAGGCGGCAGGCACACATCATTCGCTTGCCTCCACGCCTGGAAGCAGCATGGCGTGGCATGGTGTGCATGGTGTGCATGGTGTGCATGGTGTGCATGGTGTGCATGGTGTGCATGGTGTGCATGGTGTGCATGGTGTGCATGGGATGGCATGGCGTGGCATGGTGTGCATGGTGTGCATGGTGTGCATGGTGTGCTGCACATGGCAGGGTCCACTTACAGGCCCACCAGCAGTTCATCCTCGGAGCAAGCTACCACCGGGTCCCCCAGGCGGCACACATTCTCCGCTCGCCTCCATTCCCTGAAGCGCCTAGCCGGCTGCCACCCTCGCACCACCTGTGCCAGCACTGCCAGGGGAGGGCAATGGGGTGCAGGGCGCGGTAGGAAAAGGATTCATGAGAGTTTTCAAGAGTTCCCAGGCGGCACTCATTGATTGCTCGCCTCCAATCCCTGAAGTGACTAGCCGTCTGCCAGCCTCGCACAATGCGTGCCAGCACTGCCAGGGGAGGGCGATTGGGTGCAGGGCGCGGTAGGAAAGGGATACTATGAGCTTCCATGAGTGCCCAGGCGCCACACATTCTCCGCTCGCCTCGATTCCCTGACGCGACCAGCCGGCTGGCAGCCTTGCACGATGCATGGCAACCCTGTTGTGGGCGATTGGGTGCATGGGCGCGTGAGGGGGAGGTGGGGGCACACAAGGGAGGTGGGAACGGATGGGAGGGGGAGAGCACGCAAGGGAGGGGGAGGGCATGGAAGGGAGGGGGAGCGCATGGAAGGGAGGGGAGGGCATGGAAGGGAGGGGGAGCGCATGGAAGGGAGGGGGAGCACATGGAAGGGAGGGGGAGAGCATGGAAGGGAGGGGAGGGCATGGAAGGGAGGGGAGGGCATGGAAGGGAGGGGGAGGGCATGGAAGGGAGGGGGAGGGCTTGGAAGGGAGGGGAGGGCATGGAAGGGAGGGGGAGGGCATGGAAGGGAGGGGAGGGCATGGAAGGGAGGGGGAGGGCATGGAAGGGAGGGGGAGGGCATGGAAGGGAGGGGGAGGGCATGGAAGGGAGGGGGAGGGCATGGAAGGGAGGGGAGGGCATGGAAGGGAGGGGGAGGGCATGGAAGGGAGGGGGAGAGCATGGAAGGGAGGGGAGGGCATGGAAGGGAGGGGGAGGGCATGGAAGGGAGGGGGAGAGCATGGAAGGGAGGGGAGGGCATGGAAGGGAGGGGGAGGGCATGGAAGGGAGGGGAGGGCATGGAAGGGAGGGGGAGGGCATGGAAGGGAGGGGGAGGGCATGGAAGGGAGGGGAGGGCATGGAAGGGAGGGGGAGGGCATGGAAGGGAGGGGAGGGCATGGAAGGGAGGGGGAGGGCATGGAAGGGAGGGGGAGGGCATGGAAGGGAGGGGAGGGCATGGAAGGGAGGGGGAGGGCATGGAAGGGAGGGGAGGGCATGGAAGGGAGGGGGAGGGCTTCGAAGGGAGGGGGAGGGCATGGAAGGGAGGGGAGGGCATGGAAGGGAGGGGGAGGGCATGGAAGGGAGGGGAGGGCATGGAAGGGAGGGGGAGGGCATGGAAGGGAGGGGGAGGGCATGGAAGGGAGGGGGAGGGCATGGAAGGGAGGGGGAGGGCATGGAAGGGAGGGGAGGGCATGGAAGGGAGGGGGAGGGCATGGAAGGGAGGGGGAGGGCATGGAAGGGAGGGGGAGGGCATGGAAGGGAGGGGGAGGGCATGGAAGGGAGGGGAGGGCATGGAAGGGAGGGGGAGGGCATGGAAGGGAGGGGGAGGGCATGGAAGGGAGGGGAGGGCATGGAAGGGAGGGGGAGGGCATGGAAGGGAGGGGAGGGCATGGAAGGGAGGGGGAGGGCATGGAAGGGAGGGGAGGGCATGGAAGGGAGGGGGAGGGCATGGAAGGGAGGGGGAGGGCACAGGAAGAAGAAAGGTGGCATGAGAGGGAGGAGTGCATACAGGCAAGCAGGTGCTTGTGAGTCAAGTAAGCCACTCTCAAGACAAGACTCCGCCCTTTCCAGTCCCTCCCAGCCAAACCTTCATTCCCTGGCCAGCCACTGCCAGCCACTGCCAGCCACTGCCAGCCACTGCCAGCCACTGCCGCTCAATGCTGCCCACCTCACTCCACTAACTGCCAAAGTGCCATCACTCTGTCTCCTCTCTTTTCACGCATGCGAGAGACTTTTGAGTCGACTCAAATGTCACCTTCTCTTCTCTCCATGCAGCACCCTCCCTTCACGCCTCCCCCTTCCTTCTCAAAACGCCCGCTTCCTATCCCCCTCGCTCCACTCACTTCCCACCGGCCACCCTTCACCTCCTTCCTCTTTGCCTCCCCTCACCTCCTTCCCTTTTTCCTCTCCTCAGCCTCTCATCTCTCATCAGCCTCCTCTCCTCTGGTCCCCTTTCCTCCTACTCTCCACCCACCCTGCTTCGCCCTGCTCACCCTTCCCCTTTTTCCCCGTCCCCATACTCCCCCTCTTCCCCCACGCTCACCTGAAACGGCAGGAGTGCTTGGCCCCATTCAACATGGGAACAGCAGCAGCCGTCCCCCACATCCACACCCCAACTCACTCACGCACACCCCTCGTCCCCTCCCTTCCCCCCCTCTCCACTCTCCCTCACTCAACGCGTGCTTTGTGGGACCAGCACAGGAATAGCAGCAGCCGCCCCCCCCATCCAACCTCCTCACACCCCTCCTCCCCTCCCTTTCTCCCCTCCACTCACTCTCCCGCACCCCTCGCCGTAGGTGCGTTGGCCAGTGCCTGCCTGTGCGACTTCTGATGCGCCAGCGACGTCTCCCCTCCATGCGCGGACCTTGCGCTTCATTCCCAGGCGACAGCTGCCATTCCCAGGCGACAGCTGCCATTCCCAGGCGACAGCTGCCATTCCCAGGCGACAGCTGCCATTCCCAGGCGACAGCTGCCATTCCCAGGCGACAGCTGCCAGCCCAGGCGACACTGTCGCGGCATTCCCCCTAATACCGCCCGCTACCATTCCCCCCTCCTGTCGCGCTTCCTACCCCCCCTCCCCCCCTCCCCAACTTGAGGTGCGGCATTGACACGCGGCGGATACCAGGCCAGGAGCCACGGCAGCAGCGCTTCCTCTATCATCCCCCACACGCTCACCCCGCATTTCCCAATCCCCCCTTCTCCACGTTTACCCCCCTTCCTTATTCCGCCGCCCGCACCTTGCGTGGCGTTAACACGCGGCGGCTCCTAGCCCAGGGGCCACGGTAGGGAGGGGGAGACGGAAGGGGGAGGCCACGGGTGCAGCGCTTCCTCAACTATCCTCTCCCCGCATTCCCTCCCCCCCGCTCCTTCTCCCCCGCACTTTACGTGGCGCTGACAGGCGGCAGCTGCTAGCCTGGGGGACACGGCAGCAGCATTCCCCCTAGTAAATACCCGCTCCCCACACCCGCTCCCCACACCCGCTCCCCACACCCGCTCCTCCGCACCTTGCGTTCACAGGCGGCGGCTCCCAGCCCCCAGCAGCGGGGGGCACTGCACCGTCATTTTTCCCCTACTACCCTCCACACCTGCTCTCCGTATCCCCCACCTTCTCCCCACACCCGCTCTCCGCCCCCCCCTTCCTCTTCTCCCCACACCCGCTCTCCGCCCCCCCCTTCCTCTTCTCCCCACACCCGCTCCCCGTATCTCCCCCCCTCTTCCCACACCCGCTACTCCGCACCTTGCGTGGCGTTGACAGGCTGCGACTCCGAGCCCGCCCGGCAGGGAGGGCACTGCAGCAGCAGCAGCAGCAGCAGCAGTAGGAGAGGCAGCGGTGGTAGCAGCGGCGCGCGAGGGGCTGCGGTGGCGACGACGCGGACCCGGCGACTCCGCTGCGCCGCGGCGCGCTCCATTCCTTCCGCGTGGGGTCGGGAAGCGACGTGGTTCGGGGATTGTCGGAAACAGTGTTTCTCACGACCGTCGAGGCAGTGAGAGGTTCTATTATCGAGGGAGAGGGAGTTGTTTTACTATCGATGGAGAGTTCTATTATCGACGGAGAAGTTCTATTACCGAGCGGGCCGCCGGTTCCGCCGTCACGAGAAAGGGAGATTGGCGTATGGCCGAGGAGCAGTACGCGTAGGACAGTTTAATATTTATTCACCCCGTTGTAACGAATGCACGCGATATAGGGTGGATGCAGGTCGCGGAAACGCAATGACACGCGAAAGACTCACGAGCGAGCCTGCACCTGGCGCCACGTCAGCAGCTCAGGCACTGCGGGCCGTGTCCCGAAAGTACGTTTCTTCGCAAAATACCCTGCCCGACCATTCTAAGTTAAGACCGCTGTAAGTTGTGCTAAGCCCCATTGAATTGAGCCGCATTCGGAAGTACTCTCGGCACACGCGCTGATGCACACATGTAACCGCTTGTAGTGAAGCATGCTTTGATGCCAGCACGGTGAGAACACCACTCCAGCAAGTGACGCGCGTCGACTGCGAACGGGGAGTGGACAGAGAAAACTCTATGAGGCTCTTGGGGCAGGTCAGGTAGCGTTCATTTGCAAAACAAATACAGCACTCTTCCCCTTCAGGTACGGCAAATCGGGAGGAGTCAAGCGCGGCTATGAGTAACACTCAGCCCCTCACCCAATCAGCCTCGCAAATAACTTCGCCCACGCGCTAGTTCTTTGCGCCACAATTTAGCGAGGGTGTGGTTACTTTGCAAGCACGATTGTTGTTTTTACGAAAATAGTGATCTGCGTCAGTTTGCGAAGAAACCTTGGTACAGCTTGACAGGAACCGTACTATGTACACAGCTCCACATACTGTCATATGAGCTGATACGAAGTCCGCCGAATTTACGGAAAATCCAGAAATGAATGCTACTTGACGCGCCCTAATTTCAGCTCGACATAATGCGATGCTGCAAGTTTTCTTCTTTCATACGGCGCAATTTGGTACACTACGGTGAGACGGGCTCTCGGTGGTCCTGAACGAGGTTGAAGCGGGAACGTGGGGAGGCTCGGTGGAAGCCGAGGTTCGTGGTTCTTGTTGAGGGTAGGTTCGGTGGCAGGCTACGTGGCTTTTCCCTCCACCGAGTGCTGTCAGAACCGGGGCGGTGTGCGGTGCGGCCGAACAACGCTGTGCTGTCGCACACCCCACCATTAGTTGGGTTTGCCATCTCGCAAATGCTGCCATCAACTTTCCGTTGAGTGGTCAATTGGTTGGCGAGCGCCTTGTTGAAGTCGTTTTTTTCTGCAAGATGCTCGCAGGTTGTCGCCGCAAGTCGTTTGTTACCAGATGATTCTTCGTGATCGTCACAACGGTTCGGCCTCAGTGAGCTGAAAATCAAATCTCCGTTCGGCTCTGTCTGGACTCCGAACCACTCCTTTGAGTCACATATGTACCTCCCAACCATTTTATGTACACCCTAATTCTCGATAGACTGCCATATGTTATACTGACCGAGACGCTTAGTGTAGCCTCACAGGACCAAAGAAGGTCCTATCACATGCGTTATAGTGACAATTTGACCCAAGGCGTTTAGTCAAGTTCGAATACGTTCTAGAATGGTACTGTTATATTTTGAACGGTTAAGACAGTTATTCAGCGTAAACGGTTCAGGTTGGCCCGAGGCTTGTTTCGTCACGTCGTGCGACTTTGCCTGCACCGAGTTATCGCACCAGCCCGCTACGTCCAAACACTGTAGCCAGTGCTTCCAACGGTGAGAAAGGTGAGAATGAGGGTGTACCGTGAAACTACTCAGGTTGTTCCCTTCGCTTTCCAGAGGCGCAGGACAGGCTATGAACACATTCATTCTTGTCTTCTCAGAGATTTCATTTGAAGAAAGAATTTTTGAACTAGCGGAGGTTGCAGCTACGCTGCTATGGGGAACGCGGGTGGATATTTTGCACGGATTTGCATCTGGGAATCTGGGATGCAGGATGAGCGCGAAGAGCGTTTGCAGACTACACCTACGCACCGCGCACATGAAACCGGCCTGGTTTTCCTGCTGCGCAGGAAAACGAACGTCAAAGAAACCGTTTCAAGAAACCAAACCTCGAAATTCCTGTATGGACCTTCGTTCTCATCCAAGTCTCAACACATCAGTTCTCAGGCTTCACATCGTCTGCAACGACCGCTCGTGAGAAGTGCAAGCGCCCGGGACAAGCGTCCGCGACATACGCCCGTGAAAACGTCCCGTGAGCTCGTGAGTAAAAGATTATCGTCGTCTCTCTTCAGCGTGCCATCGCCTTGCGACGCGCTGGCGCCATGCCCCGTGCGCGCTCTGCGGGCCCAGCGCGCTGGCGGCTTGCGCCCCGGAGCCTTGTTGCCGCAGCGCGCTGCGAGAAGGGGACACTGGCGACATGCCTGACAATATTTCCCAGCGCGCAATCCCCAGCGCGCAATCCCCAGCGCGCAATCCCCAGCGCGCAATCCCCAGACGCAATCCCCAGCACGCATCCCCCAGCGCGCAATCCCCAGCGCGCAATCCCCCAGCGCGCAATCCCCCAGCGCGCAATCCCCAGCGCGCAATCCCCAGCGCGCAATCCCCAGCGCGCAATCCCCAGCGCGCAATCCCCAGCGCGCAATCCCCAGCGCGCAATCCCCAGCGCGCAATCCCCAGCGCGCAATTCCCAGCGCGCAATTTCCCAGCGCGCTATCGCCTAGGCCCTGATGCCTTCCCCGCCGGTGCGAACGGCGGCCAAGGCACCAAACGCCTTGGACGCTGCCAGCTAATCCCTCCCTCTGGTCGTCTCTCCTCTCTCCTCTCCTCCTATCACTCTAAAAAATCGAATTTTATTCATCGCTCTTATGCGATCTATCCCGTTATCCTCAAACGGCCCGTTATCCTCAAACGGCCCGTTATCCTCAAACGGCCCGTTATCCTCAAACGGCCAGTTATTTCTCGCTGCGTCCCCTCAACCTTTGGGCGAACAGCGCCGTAGACAGGATGTCATTTCGTGTTCACCTCGCCCTTCTCTGAGGAAGGTGCTGAGAGTGCGAGTGTGAGCTGGAGACATCCGAAAATTGACGGGTTGAAAAAGTGCCTTTTTGAGGCCCGAAAACTTACTCGAGCAAAAGTAACTCGCAACATTCTGGTGAAGTGCCTTTTTTACGCGAGTGACTCCAGGTCGCAGGCTGCGATTTCCCAAACTGTTGGGAACCAATTGCAGTAACTCGGATGGTAGGTTCGGCATGGCGCTGATTGGTTCGACTTGGGAGTCAGGATGTCGACATTTCGCGTCAAAATTTCCCGCCTAGTGTTTGCCCGAGTAGCATTGATGCGCGTGTGCACTTGTAATTGGTGGATTATCTGACACACGCGACCCTATAATCTTGATAGACTCTACGAACTGTTTTTTTTTTCGGATGAGATACAGATTGCTCCGTTTTTGTGATCATAAAGAACGGAGGCTTACTTTTGATAGGTACACCAGGAGAGCGTACAGAGCTGTTTCAGTACAGTGAAAATGGTTACATTGTATTTTGCATATGAAACGTTTTTTTTTCTAATAATATGACCAGCAATTCATTTGCACGCAATAACAACTAATACATATGATTTGTGGATCGTTGCACAGCAGCGTTTCTCTACAATTGTGATTATACAATCATATCAAAATGGTCCTTCTTTATGAAATGCACTTAACATCCAGCTCACTTTCAGAGAGGTAATCTTGGTGTAAAAATACACAGCACACCATTCACGCCCAAAGCACTAAAAGCATGTTACAATGAGAAAAAACCTAATATTGCAACCTTAATTTCCATACTATGCATGGAGCCAAATAATCAAAACCTTCAACTGGGTATTTTCAATTCAACCAGGCTGCCCCAAGCTCGAAAAGGCTGAACGTTTGGCTTATGCAGGGCGTGACAAACGACCCGCATATACGACCTGGGAGAGGGGCAGGAAGAGGGGGAAGAAAAGGGGAAGGGGGGACGGAGAGGGCACGAGAAGGAGGGGGGTTAGAATG